AAGTAAGTATAAAAATGGTTTAATAGCCCCTTCCAACTCACTTTCTCCTCAACTAAATATTCCTTTACTGAAACAAATGCATATGGCCTTACAACTCGTAATTACTGTATGTGGGCTTATGTGTTTGTGACGTATTTCGCAACACGACGAGGAAGAACCGTGTATAGCCCCCTCTTGCCACAAAGGAGACGAGATTTCAGCTCACACGTATTAATGATGAGGACATGTTGGTTCCTGTGGCGCACACCCGGATGTGAGCGACTAACGCTTTCGAATAATGGGAAACAGGCGAAGAGACTCCATCGCTATTAATAACGTGCCTACACTTTCCGCTCGACATGTTCTGGTTTGTTGGCCATAGAAGCGAAACTGCTTTGGAACTGGATCTTGTCCATTGGAAGGCTTCAACCGTCAGTCACCATAAGCGTCTGCGCACTACAGCGTTTTACATTAGTAAGTGTAATGGCAAGTGCAAGTGTAAGTGTTTTTGTGATTGTTTGTTTAATGAATACCTAAGAGTTTCAACAGAAGTGCGCTGTTCTTGTAACTGAACTGTTACTGGCAAAAACATCAACCCAGAAACATGCATAAACAGAAGTTTGTCGATTTTTTAACAACTGCTACAGAAAGCTCTGTATATATTTAAAAATGTGAAAAGTGAACACGGTGAATAACACGGGTTGTTTTCATTTCGGCAGTGGGCCTCTGAAACTTTTGTATTTATGGAAGAGACAGTGAAACATCTTCCCATGCGACCTGAAGCCTAAGTAGACAAACATTCAGATAAAAAACAAAACAAACAAACTCCGTGGCCTGTACTCCGCAAGCGAACTATATCGACCGAGCTACCACCGTTTGTCGGCGAAGTTAGTGTCAACTTTAGCGATAGAGGATGTCACGTGGTCAGCGCAACGGTTCCCCACGGCCGTAATCTCGGTTTTATAGACCCGAGCCGCTATTTCCTTGAAATAGCTCCTCAATTATCCTCACGAGAATCGCACCCTGTACCTCAAGATCTGTAGCCAGGAACTCTGACCACTAGACCACAGATAATTTTCCACAAAATCAAATTGTAGATACCTCTTCCCGTGAAGAAGACTACTGATGAACATAGGAGAAGACAGATGGGAACAGTAATACGGTCATGAAGCCAGGTTCCACCAAAACCCACTAGGGTGCTAGTAACTAGCCGACCACAATCCACTCTGATGTCCTCCCAAACGCTGCGGGAGTCTAGTCAGTCAGCCTCTCATGTCGAAGCTGCCTCTCGAGTCTGTAGAACTTTGGAAGCGAGAAGCTGTGATTGACAGATTTTTGTGATACTGAAGCGACAGATTTTTCAACCCCAGGTTGGAATTCCTACCCGATCTACTAGTGGGTCCCGTATCACCACCACAAGGCGCGTCCTCAGGTTGCGGATAGACGAAACGGCATCCAGATATGTTTGGTGTGTGTATGTGTTTCTTCTGTGATTGTGTTGTCCTGTGTTTAGGTAGAGGCCTTGCGACGAGCTGATCACCCGTCTAAGGAGCCCTACCCTCTGTAAAAATGATCATGAAACTGAGAAATCAGCCCTGTTCTTCAAAGTGGGAGCGAGAAGAGAAAAAATACAGTGAAAGTTGAGACTGAATTCAGACAATGTTTACTATCACCAAGCAAAGCGGCCTCCGTAGTCTAGGGATAACGTTCCCACCTCATGACTGGTGGTACGCGGGTTCAAACCCGGCGGAGGTCGTGCAATTTTTAAGGGCGGAAAAATTCAGGGAACAAGTCCTCCGGGAGGGACTTTAAGCCGTGGGTCCTGTGTCGCAGCTTTACGGCACGTAAAAGAACCTCATATCTCCAAAGAAGGTCACTGAGCCAAATTCAGGGACGTTTCCCGCCCAACAATAGTCTCTAACGCCTCTGATAGATGGGGGAAGCATTATAGATACCGCCCAGACAGTAGAGGCCGAACTCGCTGGCTCGGTCGGGACTGATGGTACGCACCAGTATCGGTAGGGTATAGAGACTGGTAGAATATCATAGAGGGAAGCACAATAGATCAAACTGGTCGCGGTGCATGGGGAAACCCACCCTCTCCAATAACTAACTAATCATCAAGCAAGTTAGTGTAGAGGTAATGCTCTAGACTGTATCCGGGAGATACTTGGTTCGAATATCGATTGCGAGACCGGATTTTCTGAGTGAGCTATTAGGCCGCGCCATAGCTCAAGCGGTTAGTCCTGGCTTCCCATCGTGGCGGCCCTGGTTCGATCCCGGGTCTGGTCAAGTGGGATTTGTGGTGGACAACGTGGCGTTGGGGCAGGTTTTCTCCGAGTACTTCGGTTTCCCCTGCCAATCTTCAATCCACCAATTGCTCCACAATCAACCTCACCTATCATCTGGGGCTGGTACAATAGGCCTGAAGTGGCCGCAGTACAAGGGACTTAGTCCCACCCCATTAGCAGTAAGAAAAATTTACCATCACTCAGTATTCTCCTTTCTAAAACAGTAACAAATTAAAACATGCAGAAGTATAATTTTGCCTGTGGTTGTGTATGGGTGTGAAACTTAACAGTCCCTGATATCCTGAAATTAGGGGGAACAACATAGACTAAGTGTTTTTGAAAACAGGGTGCTCTGGAGAATATTTCGACGATAGAAGTGTGAAAATGTAGTAGGCTGGAGAAAACTTCATTCACAGTAGCTTTGTAACTCTTACTCAACCTCAAGTATAATTAGAATGATGAAATCAATAAGAATGAAAATGGCAGAGCATGTAGCGCTCATGGAAGAGGATTGCAAACAGCGGTTTTTCAGGATAAGCTATAGAAAGAAGACCACTAGGAAGACACAGACATAGGTGAGAAGATACTATTAAAATGGACCTTAGAGAAAGAGGATGGAATGGATTAATCTGGCTCAAGATAGGGACCAGTGGTGGGATCTTGTGAGCATGGTAATGAGCCTTCGGTTCAAAACAAACTCTTGGGGAATTCCTGATTACCTGAGCATCTTGTGCCGTCTCGAGACGAATTCTGCCGCATGGTGTTAGTTATTTTAAAGTGACTTTCGTAGGTCATAATTGCGTCTATACTCAAAGCATTGCTAGGCAAAGGGTTGATAAACACACCGCGATACACGCACGCAACAACAGGACGAATGTTATAGCTCGTTGCCAGGCAACAGTCAGCGGGCCAACGAACTAGTTTGGTAGCGGTTACGTGATGTGTTTTCTATAGGTCCATCCAGCGCGCCAGTGGACTGGCGAGATAGCGAACACGTGACATGTTTCCTCTGCGTGGTCCGTGCCATGGAGTTCCCGGGAAGACATTCGGCGCTACAACGCAGTTGAGAGAATTAGACTGGAGAGTTGAAGGTCGCAGTTTCTTCTATTGCTAGTGGGGTGGGACTAAGTCCCTTGTACTGCGGCCACTTCTGGCCTATTGTACCAGCCCCAGATGATAGATGAGGGTGATTGTGGAGCAATTGGTGGAATGAAGATTGACAGGGGAAACCGAAGTACTCGGAGAAAACCTGCCCTAGCGCCACTTTTTCCACCATAAATCCCACTTGACCAGACCCGGAATCGAACTCGGGACGCCGTGATGGGAAGCCAGCGACTAACCGCTTGAGCTATGGCGCGGCCCAAGTTCGCAGTTGCAGAAGAATTAGAAGTCAGCTTGTGAAGACTTAATGTGTGCTGCAGTGCAGTGATATTGGGAGTGTGTGATTAAGTGAGACCTTTGTAGTTTCTGTGTAAATTCCGTCGACAGGAACATTGTCAAGGCTTAACCATAGTTGACATCTGTTACAGACTAATGCAAGCACATATAGAAGGCTTCATTTATGTGTTATAATTACAGTAATCCTTAGAGTGTTATAATTAATTGTAATTACATGTAAGTGCTCAATAAATCAAATTATCAATCCGAACCCCGTCTACTGTCACTCCTACACCTGACACTACGTTCTCTGCACTGTCAGTGTGACATCTGCGTGAAGCAGCAATAGAAGAATTGTTGGGATAGATGTTTTCTGCGCTGTCCGTGCCGAGATGTTGTAAGCAGAACAAGTCTACGGTTTAGTTAGTTGTGAGACATTCGCACTGAAGCTGAGGAAGCTACGGCGTTGGAAGCCGTTACTAGGCGACAACGAGTGATGATACAGCAGACTTAGAAGGTTTAGTGCGTGCTGCAATGAATTGTAGAGTGTGTGAATTAACGATAGCGCTATAGTTACTCACACGTGACAATATATACATGTCCTATCTAGGATTACTGCTCATTGGCTGCGTGATTAAAGTACTAGGGACATAAGCTACTTCGCTGAGGTATGATCTGGGTGTTACGATACTGACAACATGGTCCTGCATTTATACGCTTCGGCTGTTTCTGGGCTATCTATACTGTGTGACAACGAGGGTGAAGTGTGCGGGTTCCTCATCAGGTTCCTTACTTCGACCGCGGCGCGGCATACTATTACAAAATATGTCATTAAATAGATGATGTACCAATTGCAGTATTTTTGCAGATTGCAGATGTCTATTGAGCTGATCACGGTGGCAGCGCGGTATAAGACATTAGCTGTCTTCGCTCGCTTGAACGCTGGGATCGTGGGTTCGAATCACACTCAAGAAATGGATGTCTGTATGCGTTTATTCTGTGTTTGTATTGTTCTGTGTGTAGGTAGCGGCTTTGCGACGGGCTGATCCTTTGTCTAAGGAGCCCTACAGACTGTGTATAGGAATAAGAAATTGAAAACTTAGCCACAGTTTAATAAAGGGCTGTAGAACCATAGATAGATAGATCAATAGATGTTTAATTAGAATTATATCTACTGATAATCCAAATTCTGTAATGCATAATTATTTTCAAAGAAGATACAGACAAACTGTAATATGCTTTGGAGTCAAGTTGTGCAATTCTCTAAATTTAAATTGTTACAATCTGAAAATACGTATGGAGAGAGGGTTGCGGGGGGTTGCTGATTGAGTCTGATTTTACTTTTTTTTTCAGGTGCAGGAAGTTATCGACGCCTTGGAGACCCAGTTAGACTCCAAGCTGAATGACGCCGTTCGAGGGGTACGGGTGGCGAACGGAAATTGCTACGTGTGTCTCGCGGAAGAAGACAATGCAGGGGCCCTGTTGGAAACAGGCTTGATACTTCGAGGGGCGAAAATTAAGCTGGAGGATGTATCCCACGATTCGATAATAGTCGCATTTTCCGGCGTCCCACATGACGTCTCGGACGGCAGCGTCGCCCGCGCCGTCGCCAGCCATGGAACTGTGATAGGTGCGTCTGCGCAGTGTACATCTTCTAGCCCACTTCACTTTCCTAGTGAACGAAAGCAAGTTTATGACGTCATCGTGCTGTGTGTGTGTGTGTGTGTGTGTGTTCCTCCTTATTCAAATTGTGAAATATCTGACCGATATTGACGAAATTTTTATGGATATTTTGCCATTGGATGCATTCTACAACTGGCTAATAATAACATGGCTGACGGCCTGATATTAAAAAAAAATTATATATATATACAAAAATGACCTAGGCAGTGACCATCCGGTCCTCTGTAGCACATAAACATCTTAGTCTATCATAGCGGTCACACCGTTACGGGTGCAGTGACAGCTAGGGTGCATATTCTTGCTTCAGTTGTCCACCTCATAAACTCCAGGCACGGACAACCGTAGAAAACACCATTTCCAACAGTACCTCTATTGTTGCGCGCGGGAACCTCTCTGTTTGCGATCGTTGCCTAGAAACGGCTCTTATTTACTTACTCTGGAACTTAGCCCTTCTTGAGGAGCCGCGCATTCTACAGCTACTCATGAATTTCCCAGCATTTTATGGCACCAGAAAGTTCATTGCCCTGTTCACAAGAGCCCTCCATTGGTCCCTATCATGATCCAGATCAATCCAATCCATACAATCCCATTCTCTACCTTTCTAAGATCAATTTTAATATTGTCCACCCACCTACGCCTTGGTCTTCCCTGTGGTCTCTTTCCTTCTGGCTTTCCCACCAATATCCTATATGCATTCCTCTTCTCCCCAATTCGTAATACATTCCCTGTCAACTTCATCCTCCTTGACTTGATCATTCTAATTATACTTGGAGAAGAGTACAAGTTATGAAGCTCCTCATTATGCAGTTTTCTCCAACCTCCTGTCACTTCATCTCTCTTCGGTTCAAATATTCTCCTCAACACCCTGTTCTCAAACACCCTCAGTGTATGTTCCTCCCTTAATGTCAGAGACCAAGTTTCACACCCATACAGAACCACAGGCAAAATTATAGTTTTGTATGTTCTAATTTTTATGTATTTGGACAGCAGACGAGAAGACAAAAGGTTTTGCACTGAATGGTAACAAGCGTTACCCGAGTTCAATCTCCTCTTACTTTCCTCCTAGAAACGGCTCTACGCTTGGCAACACGTAAACAAACTACCTACGTAGTTAGCAAATCGTAAACGAGCTGTGATTTTCTGTGGAACGTTTTAGACATCCCTAGTAGAGCAAAAGGAAGGAGGTTATTTGCATAGCCTTGAGTCATGCTTTGGCCTACTGCAGTAATGTAAATTGTATATTCCTGAGAAGAGCTACTGACGTAGTGTTGCGTGCAGTAATGATAATGATATCTTAATGGTTTATCGTCCGGCAATGATGTATCTATTGCTTACGTCATATGTTTCATATCGCGAAGTCGAAATATTTATGTACAGTTTGTACGCTTATTTATTTTTTTTTTCCATTTAATTATACTTTTGTCAATTTCGTGCGTTGTAAATAAATGCCAGTACGATTGTGAGCAGAGTAGCACATGGAAAGAGGCAGTAGTGACCTATTTTAAGACATCGCAATATTCTCTTTGAAAAGTAACAGTAGACCTCAGCGGCCTCCGTAGTCTAGGGGTAAAGTTCCCACCTCGTGACTCAAGGTACGCGGGTTCAAACCCGGCGGAGGTCGTGGAATTTTTAAGGGCGGAAAAATTCAGGGAACAAGTTCTCCGGGAGGGACTTTAAGCCGTGGGTCCCGTGTAGTAGCTTTACTGCACGTAAAAGAACCTCATGTCCCAAGGGGACCTCTGAGCTAAATTCAGGAGATTTCCCGCCCAAGGGCCGGCCGCCCTTTACTCCCCAGGAAAATTCCTGGTACTCATTTCAGTTAGAGGCTGAGTTGACCCCAGGGCCATAGTGCGCCTGGAAGGATTAGAATTGGAAAAAAAAATCCACCTCATCGGGACTCGAACCCGCGACCTACCGTCTTGTAGCATAGTGCCTCAACCAACTACGCTACCGGGTGTCCCCCCTAATAATAGTAATAAATTAAGAGAGATATTCAAAAATCGTGGGATGAACGCAATGATAGAATAAGATGTTAATAAAAATGTGCTACAGAAGGCTGGATGGACATTCCTTAAGCTATTTTTTGTATATACACGATTTTTTAAAATAAAAATGAAGTAATTCCGAATAAGAACAGACGAGAGAGCGTATGTGACGACAGCTGAGGAAGAAGCAGGAAAGAAATTTAATTTAAGAATTGCATTATTTAAATTTGTTCTTTTTTTTTTAGGTAGACAAACCGCTGTGAGTTTTGGTGTTTAAACTTGAAAATTTGTCTTGCTTGAGGAAGACAGAGGCCGTAGCTAGCAGCTCTACACGATCCTCCTCTTTCTCAGAATCTTATGGCTAAAGGAAGTTCTACGTAAACATGTCTGGGGGGACAGGCAGTTTAAACACTGGAGGGAAATAGAGATTCGTTAAAATTTACTCCTCTACATCTGAATAAAAGCATTAAATTGCCTCAGTTGGAGCTGGTTCTGAAGACAATTTAGTATCTCTTGTTAACATTAAGAGGTGGCAGAGGCACAGAAGTAAGTGGAAGATGCATCATTCTAAACACGAGACATGTACAGCTCACATTTGCTTACTTCCGGTGCGGTCCCTTTCATAGCGATTTTCAAAACTTTGCTGACTTATAAAATATTATATATTAAATAATCTCACAGTAAATGGAAAAATGGATTGAAAATGTTCGAGAAATATGTCATATAGAGGATATTTCAACTTAAATGTCGCCAATTATTATTATTATGGTGATCAAGTCGAGATGAACAAAATATGTGGGTATGTTGCACGCATGGGGGAGATGGTGAAATGCATACAAAATCATCTTGTTCATACATGTTCTGAGAAAACAAAAACCAAAGTCAAAATCCCCTCTTTTTTATCTATAAGTCGTCGTTCTACATGGAATAATCTTGAAAGATCGGTCAATGTCGCCGCTAATTTAAACAAAACATCAGATTCTAACACAAACCCCAAAATAATTGGCAGGAGACGATAAGAGATAAATACAGTCAGTTCTAAACAAGCTCTAAAAGTTTGTGACGATTGTACATTAGTACAAATATTATATTTCTGGGCATTATCCGTCACCTTGACTCTGTCTAAAAACCGTCCTGCCTATTTATTAAAACACAACGTTTCGGAGACTGGATCCTGCCTCCGTTTTCAGGTAAAACCTCAGTTGGGCCTTATCGATAGAGCTAGTCCATATGTCCTGATGTAGGGACTAGCTCTATCGATTGGGCCGAAATAAGTAGGTTTTACCTGAAAATGGAGGCCGCGCCATAGCTCAAGCGGTTAGTCGCTGGCTTTCCATCACGGCGGCCCAGGTTCGATCCCGGGTTTCATCAAGTGGGATTTGTGGTGGACAAAGTGGCGCTGGAGCAGGTTTTCTCCGAGTACTTTGGTTTCCCCTGCCAATCTTCATTCCACCAATTGCTCCACAATCACCCTCACCTATCATCTGGAGCTGGTACAATAGGCCAGAAGTGGCCGCAGTACAAGCGACTTAGTCCCACCCCGTTAACAATAAAGAAAAACTGAAGACGGAGACAGAATCCAGTCTCTGAAACGTTGTGTTTTGAAAAATAAACATGACGGTTTTTACATAAAGACAAGACTATGGATAATGTCCAAAAACATAATATTTGTGCAGTCAGTTCTACATGGCTGTTATTGCAAAGAACTGAACCAAGCAAGGATGTTGCATATCTATTTCTCTCGTCATACAAGGAAGCACATACGTTACAATGTAATGTGAAATTGTTGTGTAGCTGTAATTAATATTGTCCTTACGCAGGTGAAGTGGAGCGGAGGTTGTACAAAGGTGTGGACACGGGAGAGAGACTCGTCAGATTGAAGCCGGCTGATGCAGACATAGGAACTATTCCGTCCACCATAAATCTAGGAGGATCAAAAGCCACTTTAAGGATTCTGAAGCCAGAAGAAATAAAGGAGTTATGTTCAGCGTGGGTTCCCGAAAGCCCGAGTGAGTGTAACAAATATATCAAACTTGTACAGACACGTAAGATTTAAGGTTTTCACAGCGACGACTATGAAGAATGCCGTCTTGTAGGATGTGGCGCTGTATAGATCTTGTGTAAACTGACGTTTCGGAAGAACTGTCACAGGTGGCTGCAGACTGAGCCACTAGTCGAAAATATGCAGCCACCTGCTCACGCTGATTCCTCGCCCACGGATTTTTCTACCCTGAAGATGGAGGTGATAGATTCCTCCGAAACGTCAGTTTACACAAGATCTACACGGCGCTACATCTCAGAAGACGGTATTCTTCCTTGTACAGGCATCATCACTAATACGAGAGATGTTGCGTAAATTTGTTTCATATTAAAGCCGAATTTGTCTTTGTAGGTCGAAAGCAAAATGCGTGTCGAGTTAATGTTCTCTTCCCTCAGACTGACATTACAGTGTTGCACGATTAATGTGGCCCATGAAATTTAAAAGTATAATGTCCTACTCAGGTTTCCGTGAATGTTATCTTTCCCCGCACTGGGGCAGGATTTCCCTGCTAATTTCATTCTCCCAGTTACTCCACGATGATCATCATCTGTCATCATCTGGAGCTGGTACAAAAGTCCAATAGTGGACGCAGTACTAAGTGCACTCAGACACAAAACAACAAAAAAAAAAATAAATAAATTCCATGGCCTGTAGTCCGCAAGCGAACTATACCGACCGATCGACCGCCGCTTGCCGGGTGAAGTTAGCGCCAACTTTTGAGGATAGAGTGTGTCACGTGGTCAGTTCAACGGATCCCCACGGCCGTTAATTTCGGTTTTCTAGACCGGAGCCGCTATTTCCTTGAAATAGCCCCTCAATTATCCTTACGAGTCTGAGTGGACCCCGTTCCAGACCCACTACTTCTCAGAACATCTGGTATCGCCGAGTCTCAACCCACTACTACTACTACTACTAATAATAATAATAATAATAATAATAAGGTTCAAAGGGCTGTAGAGTCATAGAACATGCTGACTACAACCCTTTGTGGGTCTTGGCCTGATCTAAAAACTTTCTCAAGCCATCCCGTCCTTGTACCTTTGTTTTCAACTCGATTACACCCAAGTTCCTCAAATTCTTCTCCACACCATCCACCCATCTCATTCTTGGTCTACCTTTCTTCCTTTTCTCTTCCGGTTTTACAAGTACTATTCTTCTTATAATTTCTTCTATTTCTCCCCTTACAATGCGTCCTGCCTATCTCAGTCTGTTTCTTCTAAATTTTTAATTATATCAACATCACTGAATAAATTATAAAGAGTTTATTTATTATCGTCAAATTTCAGGCACAACTGGAGCGACTGAAGACGATAAGAAGACAAGCACATCAAAAGTAGAAATCCCAAACGGGGACAGTCCCGCGAAGTCCCTAGATAGTTCCTTCTCAACTGACAGGTATCGCTCGCAACTGAATGTTCGTTTGAAGCTACCTAATCCGAAAACGAACAGATCATTAGAAAATATTTTCGATAGCACGGCTGATGTAACACAGCATAACACGTCCCTCCCAATTATAGACGCACGCGACACTGCTTCTGTAAAAGTAGCTCCTCCAAAAATTCTCTCGGAAACTACACTGTCAGAACCTCGAAACAAAAAGTCCTCATGTGAAAGGCGTTTTAATTTTGATACTTCAGGGTCTGCCTTGTCCCACAAATTACCATATCAGCAACAAGAAGAATTAACACATGCCCCATCCGACCATGGTACAAGGCCTAAGGAAATTGTCACAGAAGTTTGCAGTCAAAAATCCAAAGAACCAGAGGTTCATCAACTTGTAGGAAAAAACAAAGTCCTGAAGACGCATTCCCCGAAACAATTCCAATCATCTCCAGAAATTGCAAGAAACCATGTCCCTAACATCTTCTCAAAACTTCCACATGGGAAATTCAAATGTCAGAATCCACAGTTTTTCAGTACTACAGACGAATCCACAGAGTCTGTAGGCTTGAATCTAAAAACCTCACCTAATTTACAAAATAATCCCTTCATGGGAAATACTGGAACATTATCTTGTTCTTCTAGGAACCCAATTACACCTACACAAGCCAATCCTTTCATATCAAGCACTCCAAATCCAGATCAAGGAATTGTTTTCCAGGACTTTACTCCTCACGATGAGCAAAGGTCTCAGTGCCACAATTCTCAACATTTTCCCCACTTTCAAAGTTCATCGAATCTTCCACCCGACTTAAAAATCCTAACGTCATATGATCATCAAAGACAATTCTTTCTGCCACTCGGCACGAGTAATTCCAGAGCATGTAGTCCTTATTCTCATATAAATGCATCTTATTCACACAATACTCAACCATCGAACATTGCATTTATAAACAATGAAGCGGTTTATATGCCAAACTCAACCCCTGCTTCTTTTTCAGGGACCCCATCTTCCTTCCCTATTAACATCGCACCTTTCTCGTCAAATCAGTCAGCAGTTTCGTTAGGAAATATCCCCACCTCAAGTTTACAACAAAATAACATCTACAATAACCCTGGTTATTATCCTAATACCCCGATACATAACTACACGACGCAAGTGTCCCCAACAAACACAATTGTATCTGGAAGTACAGGATATTTTGTATCTAACGGAACAAACACCAATGTACCTTCAACTACACATGTGCCAGGTAACATGACTGTGTTAGTCCCAAATCCTCTGTCGATTCCTGACAGTGCAGAATACGTTGCCATGACATCGGATCTCCCTTCTAATGCACACACTGGAAGTTCTTGTATGGTTCAGTCTGCAAGTTTTTCAGCGCCAGATGCGTCGTCTCCAGACGCATCAAATTTTCCATCGTCTCATCAAAATTCAGATCTATCCCAAGAACCGTTGGGACACCACTCACAAAACCTTGTAAGTGATGAAAACAAGGCAGGGGAGGAACAGAGTGACGTGACAGAAAAGACATTGGATGTGCCCAGAACGCCATCTACTAGTCTGCCTACTTCCCCAGTGCCAGTTCGGAAACTGACAATGCAGAGAAAGTCATCCAGAAGATCTAGCGTAATGTCTCGTCAGCAGAGTAAATCTAGCGGTGATGAAGGGCCGAATATTACTCCACCAACAGCACACAAACACACGAATGTGAATCCAACGTCAACATCTCCAGGAGCTGCTAGGGGGAAGCTTTCTCGGAAAGTCAGCTGCACTAACTCAATTGGGAGTCATCACAATGCAGACAACTCCATTAATGAGAGTTCGGCAGGATCCACTGGTGGACCAAACGCAACTTCATCACCTAACACGAAACACAGAACATCAATAGTGCATCAAAGGTGAGACAGAAAACAACTTCAGTATATAAACACAAATATTAATAACATATAAAAATGATTTTGTTAGTGAAATATTGCATACTCTACAACATATCACATAAAAATCATAACTACAGAAGTCAGAATATTGCAAAGTACAGGAAGAATGTAAGATTTGAGGTTTTCACGGCGGTGACTATGAAGAAAGAAGTCTTCTGGGATTTGGCACCGTGTATATGTGGTGTTAACCCACACCACATATGTGGTTAACACCACATATACACGGTGCCAAATCCAAGAAGACTGTTTTCTTTACAGGAAGAATGGTCTGGAACAAGGAAATGCTTTATAGCCACTGCTTTTTAAGTTTGCTTTAGAATATGCTGTTAGGAAGGTCCAGGAAAACTAGGTGGGACTGAAATTAAATCCGATACTTAATCTGATGATGTGAATTTGCTGGGTGATAATATAGATACCATAAAGGAAAACACAAACTTTAATTGACCCTAGTAAGAAGGTTGGTCTAGAATAAACACAGAGAAAACTNTACAGGAAGAATGGTCTGGAACAAGGAAATGCTTTATAGCCACTGCTTTTTAAGTTTGCTTTAGAATATGCTGTTAGGAAGGTCCAGGAAAACCAGGTGGGACTGAAATTAAATCCGATACTTAATCTGATGATGTGAATTTGCTGGGTGATAATATAGATACCATAAAGGAAAACACAAACTTTAATTGACCCTAGTAAGAAGGTTGGTCTAGAATAAACACAGAGAAAACTAAGTACATGTTGCTGTCTCGTCACCAAAATGCAGGACAAAATCACGACATAAAGATATGTAACAGATGTTTTGAAAATGTGACACAGTTCAGATATTTGGGAACGACGGTAACAAATCAAAACCTGATTCATGATGAAATTAAGAGGAGATTGAACTCGGGTAACGCTTGCTACCATTCAGTCCAGAACCTTTTGTCTTCTCGTCTGCTCACCAAAAACATAAAAATTAGAATATACAAAACTACAATTTTGCCTGTGGTTCTGTATGGGTGTGAAACTTGGTCTCTGAAATTAAGGGAGGTACATAGACTGAGGGTGTTTGAGAACAGGGTGCTGAGGAGAATATTTGGAATGAAGAGAGATGAAGTGACAGGAGGTTGGAGAAAACTGCCTAATGAGGAGCTTCATAACTTGTACTCTTCTCCAAGTATAATTAGAATGCTCAAGTCAAGGAGGATGAGGTGGGCAGGGCATGTGGAACGAATGGAGAGAAGAAGAATGCATATAGGATATTGGTGGGAAAGCCAGAAGGAAGGAGACCACTAGGAAGACCAAGGCGTAGGTGGGTGGACAATATTAAAATGGATCTTCGTAATGTATTTCCCTTGAGGTACTAACCAATCTTTCATGGTTTATTTAAAAGGAATTCAATCTTTAAAGTGTTAAGTAATGGTATAGATATCTCATTTCAGTTCCAGCTGTATATAACAAACATGTACGCATCTAATTTCCCAGAATATTATGGAAGCAGCAGTTAACATTTCTCTTCTTCCCTCTGCGTCAATCGTATGACGTATTTTTAACACGAATCGTGTTCGAAGACTCACTGACTGCAATTAACCAACGCAATAAAACTGTTTGTTCTGTGCTGCTTTGTGTTAGTTGATTGTATAATTAGTTGATATGGTAATTGTTCTGCAGGAAGACGGGTGCTGGACTCACGGGCGGCGTTGATGCGTCTGGAGGCGGCCATGCGAATGCCATTGACGTCAGCCGATCCTCAAGTTCAGGTCAGGACTCGCCGACAAAACCCGACAGGAGACGAAGAGTGTCGATTTACTTCAACAATAAGAAAGGTGACATTTTAGACAAAGAAAACATCCACTGGGCCACCGAGACACACGAGGAATTAATGGCGGGACGTAAGAAAACCTGAAGGAACGCAACCCGTCTGTCTATTAACAGAAGAGGGCGTTGTCAAGCCACAAAGAAGAATTTACCCCAGCGACAGAAATAGTTATGCAAAAACTGGTGGCTCTTATGAAACAACAAATATTAACGGAGTCACAAGTCTGAATCATGATATAAACGAGAAAGACGAGAGACATTAATTAAAGAAAAATTACACTGTCTAATTAACATCTATGTAGGTCGCGCCATAGCTCAAGCGGTTAGTCGCTGGCTTCTCAACGCAGCTGCCCTGGTTCGATCCCGGGTCTGGTCAAGTGGGATTTGTGGTGGACAAAGTGGCGCTGGGGCAGGTTTTTCTTCTTGTACTTTGGTTTCCCTTGCCAATCTTCATTCCACCAAATTTTCCATCATCATAATCACCCGGGGCAGGCTAAAATAGGCCAATCAGTGGCCGCCGTGCCGAGTGGACCCAGTTGGACTCTACCCCCCACTAAACGAATTAAAAAAAAAATTTGTATATGACAGTCCGTTAATAATGCAAAAATTGTTCTTTTTATTCCTCGAATTTCACCATTTAACATTTAACACAACATGTGATGGTCATCTTCAGGTGTCTTAGTGCAACCATGCACTATTGTAGACAACACCACACGCTGCTGGAGGGAACGACACACAAGCAAGGGGTGTATTACAGCTTGCAGACGTAACAAAACAAAGGGCTAAGGAACATAATCACAAGCTGTTGAAATAAAACATTTGGAATAAATCACATAGCTCTGAATAAGTGGACGACGCCCCTTATGAGTGGACTGCAGCGCATGGTTTTAGCGCACATCAGAACAGTGTTGCCGTTTCGATAGATCGAGACACCTGAAGATGACCATCTATGGCCGAAATATGAAGTGTTAAGTGTTAAATTGTGAAACTGGAGGAAAAAAAGGTACAATTGTTGCATTATTGACGGACTGTGGATACACAGACGTTAATTAAAGGTTTGCAACAGGATGCTGAAATACAGAACACACCGTCCAAATTTATGCAAATATTAAAAACACGCTTGGTTTCCATCAGCTGTAATAGGTTTCCATATCTCCCAGTAGCCTGACTTATATAAAAGTGAGGGGCATACATGGAGTTGCTTATAGTGTGTACCGTCGTTGTTAACTTTGTGTAATTCACAAATTTAAAGAGAATTACGGACATGTAATTACGTAAAAAATTCGCGTTTCCAAACCAAAGAAATTATATGATTACATTATTTCGTTACTTATAATTATGGTAAGTACGGGAGCCAGGATAGCTCAGTCGGAATAGAGACTGGCTGGACGACGGACGGCCGAGGGGTCGGAGGTCGAGTCCCGGTAGAGTAGAGAATTTTCTGTTCTCCATGTTCTTCAGACCGGCTCTGGGTTCCATCCAACATTCTATTCAATGGGCACTGAGGTCTCTTACTCCGGGGGTAAAGCGGCATGGGCGTGAAGCTAACCATTCATCTCCAGCTAGTGTCCAGGTCAAGAAAATGTGGATCTATATATCCACTCCCACATACGCCTTCATGGCATAGTGCTTAATTAGTCAAGCACAGGGACAACTTTACACTACATATTTCCAGAAGGATCCAGTGAACATTACAGAACATAAACGGAAGGATGTCTGTATAAAATCTGAATTTTTTACTGATATAAATTTTTTTACGTTTTCATTCAAAGTTTTTTCCTAGTTAACCTAAGCTTCCAGCCCCACTATGACCCTGGGGTTAACTCAGCCTCTAACAGAAATGAGTACCAGGAATTAATTAAATAATTTTCCTGGGGAGTAAAGCGCGGCCGGCGCGTAAGGCTGACAAAAATACCGCCATCTGTGAGCCGATTGTCTAGATAATGTGGGACCCTCAACGTCTCACAACCCTATTGGGGTCCATGGCCTCTTACAGGGATAACTTTACCTTTTTCTTTTCATTCCAAGTTATGGAAAGCTAATAACAGTGGAATGTTCAAAGGAAGCGATTTATTATTATTTTTTTAATGTTACTGTGCCACCAAAAAAAGAATTGTTGATACAAGTCTTTGATATGCGTTTGGTAAGAAGAAAACGTATTTACGTATTATCTTCTCATCCCTTTGCAATGAGAACAGATATCTTGCAATGACTTTTTTGACTACTGGAGTACAGTGCCTTCAGACTGAGACTGACCACTTACGCAAAACAGAGGAGGGATTTTTAACTATACTTTATTTTCCACAATTTCTGTGGGACATGTGAGTTACTGTTACGTTTGATTCACTCCGGATGCAACACAAATTCCGTGACAAGCGGAAGTCGCTCGGTCGGTATAGTTCGCTTGCGGAACACAGGCCACGGAGTTTGTTTTTGATAAATGCTGTCAATTTTATGTCAAAGTTTCAAAAGATGAAATCATGCAATATTTCTGTATGCATTTAAAGAACTATGATATGACTAGGAACTAGAAAGCTCAATTTCCCTCCAAAACGGTATCTATAACAAATACCTTAAGGAACCTTATTTATTTTCACAGGTGGGTTAAAAAGACGAGATTCTTACGTTCCAAACGGTGGCAGCGCCCATAGCGGTGGAATTCTATCTCGTACCTCATCTCTGGACCATTCACACTGCTACGCTGGAGGGTCCATGACAGACGTCACTGCAGCTCATTGCGCAGGCGCAGAAACAACCACAACCACATGCAGTGAACGTGAGCGAACGAACAGTGTTAGCAGCAGAACAAGTAGCGCAGCGGGGGGCCATGCAACTAACAAAACGCGGAAACACAGTGTCTGCAGCAATCGAGGGGGCAGTGGAAGTGACGTGGGAAAAGTTCCGTGGTGTGGGTGTTGGGGAAACGGGTGTATCTAATAATTAACGTTTACTAATTCCTATCTGATTCACGTAATTAATTTCTATCCATCTTTTATGTTCTCCAGACATGGATGTTAATACGAACCTTGCAAAACTTTAACGTCTTTTGTACTACGCAGATATTTCTGGCACCTGATGGTACACATTTTGTTACAACATTGCATTACTGAACGTGGTGTGTAAGACTATATAGAAAATATATTTTAAAATAATATGAAATAGTTATATTTGTATATAAGCATTTTGCAAAACATTACTGACAACACAAGCATTTAGCATGCGAGACAAGACAATAATGTTAGGCATAAATAGACATTAAATACTCCATATTATGTTGTATATCTGTAAAAATAATCATAATATATATAGAATTATTCGAAGAAAAGGCTGTTATTGAAGAACGTGAGAAGGAGGTAATAAATACATAAATAAATAAAAATTGAAATTTTTATATTACAAAATAATGTACCAATAATATTAATAACATATTTGGTTTTGATTTTATTTTCCGGCAGTATAGCAACTGTGGGCCGGTCACGGTACCCGAGCGGTCTAAGGCATGCACTGTCTTCGCTCGCTCGGAAGCCGGGATCGTAGGTTCGAATCCCACTCAGGGCATGGATGTTTGTGTGCGTTTTTCTGTGTTTGTCTACAGGCAGAGGCCTTGCGACGAGCTGATCACTCGCCCAAGGAGTCCTACCGAATGTGTAAGATGTAGTAAACCGAAGTGAAAAGTAGAGTTTCATGGCGGTAGGCCTAGGCCCAAATTGGGGCTGTAGCACCACAGGAAAAAAAATGGCAACTGTGGTGATAATAGCTTTATTTTCTGACATGTGCTGGGTCAGTCATTCAGAATACAATTAACTTATTTTCTTTTAAGGTTTCATCGTCTATCAGAACTCCTGATTCTACCTATCTACCTACCTACCTACCTATGGCTCTACTGCCATTGATCGGGTCTTGGACATTTTTCAGTACCTCAAGCCTATATACAGTTGGCAGGACTCCTTGGACAGGGGATCAGCCCGTCACAAGACATCTACCTATACACAGAATAAACGGACACATTAGTATCCATACTTCGAGTGGGATCCGAACCCACGATCCCAGCTTTAGAGCAGACGAAGAGAGTTCATGCCTTAGACCGTAAGGCCACTGTGAACGGCACCACCAATAACAACTTTCATTGTACCTCCATTGACACCTCCAAATGATACTGACCTCCTTCGGCCTCGCATACTTACAACTATATCCTTTCCCCTTGCTACCCGGCAGGTTTCATCGCTGAAATTTTATATGCATTCCTTGTCTCCCTTATCAGCCGAGCTATGCTCACCATACGGTGGCTTCCTATAGCGCTTTATTCTAACAGAACTTACTAGGAGACCAGTGGTGTTCGCATCCTATGTTTACGTTTGTTATTACGTAATTCCTAAAGTGTTCACTTATGTGACCTAGAATGAATGAAGTTTCCTGTAAACATTTAGTGTTCTATAACACTTACATTTGAACGAGTAAAGCATTGCGAATGTTACAACAACGAAAAAAAAAGACTAGTTTCAGGCTACACTTGGTAACACCCAATACAGAATCTTTTATCTCCCCGTCTGTTATCTACATGCATAAATAACAATTTTTTTTCCTTGGCACTACAGTCCCAGTGGGCCTAGGCCTACCTCCATGAACTTCTCCGTTCACTTCGGTTTTTCTAGATCTTACACATTCGGTAGGACTCCTTGGGCGGTGATCAGCTCGTCGCAAGGCCTCTACCTGCACACAGACACAGAAAAACGCACACACACAAACTAAACATCCATGCCCTGATTCGAACCCGCGATCCCGGTTTCCAAGCGAGCGACGACAATACATGCAATAACAATATATACAAAACAATAATTTTACCTGTTGTTTGTAAGGATAGGACCGCTTCTATGGTCTACTGATCAAAGTTCCTGGCTACAGATCTAGAGATCCCGGGTTTGATTCTCTGCGCTATCAGATTTTCTGAGAAGTAATGGGTCTGGAACGGGGTCCACTCAGTCTCGTGAGGATAATTGACGAATTACTGCAAGGAAATAGCGGCTCCGGTCTATAAAACCGAGATTAACGGCCTGGGGATTCGTTGCGCTGAACACGCGACACCCTCTATCCGCTAAAGTTGGCACTAACTTTGCCGACAAGCGTCGGTCGATCGGTCAGTATAGTTCGCTTGCTGACTACAGGCCACGACAGCGCTCCGATGCCGTCAAGTTCCGCTGGCGGGGAGGGAGGGGCGTCATCCATAGCGCAACATGTCACAATATAAAAATTGGTCACCAGCACTTTAAGAGAATATCTCATATTTCAGTTGCTTGAGTATATGAAGCTAGGCAATATATTTGGACCTGAGAGGAAAGAAGCATAGTCTGAGGGTGTTTGAGAACAGGGTGTTGAGGAGAATATTTGGACCCCAGAGGGATGAAGTGACAGGAGGTTGGAAAAACTGCATAATGAGGAGCTTCATAACTTGTACTCTTCTCCAAGTATAATTAGAATGATCAAGTCAAGGAGGATGAGATGGGCAGGGCATGTAGCACGAATGGGGAGACGAGGAATGCGTATAGAATACTGGTGGGAAAGCCAGAAGGAAAAAGGCCACTGGGAAGACCAAGGCGTAGGTGGGTGGACAATATTAAAATGGATCTTAGAGAGATAGGATGGGATGGTATGTATTGGATTGATCTGGCTCAGGATAGGGACCAGTGGAGGGCTCTTGTGAACATGGTAATGAACCTTCGGGTTCCATAAAATGCTGGGAAATTTTGAGTAGCTGCAGAATTGACTTCTCCTCAAGAAGGGCTCAGCTCCATAAGTAAGTAAGACAGGAAAGAAGTGACAGGAGGCCGGAGAAATTGAATAATTAGGAGCTTCATAATTTGCATACTTCAAAGAAAATTATTAACATTGCAGAATGAAGCAGGATGAAGCGAGCAAGCACGAGTGAGGAAAATGATAAAAAGTGAACAGCATATTGGGGGGGGGGGACATGAAGGAAGGGGCCCACTTGGAAGTAGACTACAGAAAATTATTAAAACGTGTTTAAAGTAATATGGTGGAGGAGTGTCCCTTAAGTCATGTCGCTTGGGATAGCAGTCAGTGGCTGGCTCTTGCGAACAAGGTAATGAATTTTTGGGTTCCCTAAGAGGAAAGAAATTTATTGTCTAGTTGAGCGACCATTAGCTTCTCATTTAGAAGCCTGGTGCTTAGAGTGAATTAATCGAAATATTACGAACGCAAATTTCAATGGTTTTAAAACCGAGTGAGCAGATAAATATGTGGACCTAAGAACGCCAAGCCGGTCACGGTAGCCGAGCGGTCTAACGCATGTACTGTGTTCGCTCGCTCGGAGGCCGGGACCGTGGGTTCGGATCTGTTTCCTGTGAGGTACGAACTGAATTCTTATATATTATTCTTATACGCTGCCCGTCACGGTAGCCGAGCGGTCTAAGGCATGTACTGTCTTCGCTCGTTCGGAAACCGGGGTTGTGGGTTCGAATATCACTCAGGGCATGTATATTTGGTGTTTGTATGTCTATATGCGTTTTTTCTGTGTTTGTATATACGTAGAGGCCTTGCGACGAGCTGATCACCTGCCCAAGAAATCCTACCGAATGTCTTAATATCTAGTAACCCGAAGTGAAAATGAGAATTTAATGGAGGTAGGCCAAGGCCCAAATTGGGGCGTTTGCGCCATAAGAAAAAAGACAGAAATTAGAAGCAAATGAGTAATTAAAGAGACCGCGTATCAAGGACATATGCAATTTTTATGGGTTGCCTAGGGTTGTTAGAAAACGTAATACAGAGAGGGCTGGCACGTGACTAGATCGGGGAAGGCAGGAAGATAGATATACAGAAGACTGGTAGACCAGTGAGTTGCGGGATGTCCCCTTGCAAGGGTTGAGAGATGGGGAAGATACAACTAACATAGATTTTAGGGAGATACTTTGAGAAGTTGGTAGGTAAGTGAAACAGGCATGGGATAATGTCCAATGATGAACACGGGAACTGATAGCAGCTGAAGCTTAGGGTTCTGCCTCCCATAGTATTACTGTCGTGGAGATTCCTTGTGGCCCCTGCACCCTCCCTTTTACTCATCCCAAAGAATCTACCTACAGACATCTAACGAGGGATAACTCTATAGATCAATAACGAGAGGCGGTAGAATTAACATGACCGGCCAAGATAAATGTTCCCAACTACATTTAAGTATTGTGGCGTATAGACACATTGCTAGGCAACGAATCGATAAACATATTCCAGCGGGAGATAACACGTGTAACAATAGGACGTCCGTTGCTAAGCAACGGACCAGCAAACGAGCCATCTCAACAAAAAGAGACTGTTTTCTGCATAGTCTGTGCCGAGGAACAGGAGCTACTAGAAATATGGCATAATCTGCTGTACTAATTCTAATTATATTTGGCGAACAGTAACAAGTTAGGTAACTCATTTCTCTAACAGTTTCACAAGCTGTATCGGTTTTCACATCACGTTTCAAATATTCGAATATTTGAAAGCTGCAAGCATGTGTGGGAACCACCACAGTGAATCGAGCTCTAGCCAATCACAGGCTAGGAACTACCCAATGCTATGCAATTGCTGTTTAGTGTGGTGGCTTCTACACATGTCTGAGATTTTAAACTGACATATTTACCTTATACCTCCTTTAGTTTCTTGAGATTTAATCTCTTAATTTGATTTTTTTTACGATTCTTCTGGTACTGAAGGACTTCATATATATGGAGATATATCTCTATGTCTTCGTGGCGTCATAGACTTCCTTCTATCTAAAGTACAATTAAAGATAAACTATTCTGAAATTCCTTCAAACTTAATTTAATTTAAAAACTTCTGTATTAACATAACTACACTTCACAGGTCTCTGACTCGTAACATCTCCAGTGTTTCCGGCAATTTCTATCCCCAGCTCTGATCAGAATAGAATTTGTATAAGTAACCATTAACATGCGTCAGGCTTTAAAACATTCCTAGTGATTTATTTGGAAAGCGCAGGGTCTTATGACGGTTAAGCGAACAGATCCACTGCCATTAGACAGACACTGGTAACGCCCAAAGGAAGAAGCCACCTCCAAAGGTCACCGACCTCACCGCAACGTATGCAGTGGCGGATCATGAACGTTGGCTGGAACCTGACTTACTAATATAACATCTTAAGCGGCTTACACCATAAACAGAACTTAGAGTTGATTGAATCAGTAATAAACAATTGATTTAACTTTTTATTTTCATTTCGTGCATCTTGTTTTGTTATTATATGTTTACAATTCTTTATTGGAGTTTGTCGTAACACAACAACATAACAGTCAAGGTTAATATTACCTTAGCTATGGAATTAAAGCCATGGAGTTTTTTTTAAGAGAA